TAGCTTCAAACTGCAACTGCCAGGCAAAAAACTCCCACAGAAGTATGCAAAAGAAAGCCCTTAACGCTCTTCACTGCTCTGTGGCTTGTGTCATTGTCAGTTGACACAACTGGTTCCAGGAATGTAATCATCTGGATAGCAAAACCACTTCCTTCAGTACTGGTTTGAAACTGCATTAGATGGTGAGTGTAGATGGGGCCACTAAGAAAAAACCATTGAGGGGTATTTTCCATTGTTTGACTGTGGTCAACACTTGAATGAGTGCTTGTTGTAAAGCCGCCCTGAGTCCGTCCCCCCCAGGGGTGAGAAGGACAGGGTACAAATGTACAATATAAATAAATAAATTGTTGTGGCTATGATAGGTCTGTGAAGATTCATGTCAGATCAAATTTGCGGTGCCAAACGGCTGTCAATGGGAAGTTCTCACTCAAAACCCAAGTGAAACAGCATTCTCTCACTCATGTGCCCCAGTAACCGACATAAAGAAGCAAAGTGCCTCTGGTAATCTTGAAGACAGGATTCATGGTTTTAATACGAACAATATCTGATATTTGAAGATCTGTAAGAAATATATGAGGGTGCAGCTTCATCATGATTGCACCATAATCTCCCGCAATTACGCTTATGGTAATTCCAAACTCGTGAGTTTATGTGAACTATGATATCATAACAAAACTGAGTGTGGGTTACTGGGTGGGAATTAGAATGTCAATACACTGTTAACAAATCAGAGAGTTCTGTAGCATTTCAAAGGTAAATAAGTTTTTCATACCACTAGCTTCCATGGACTAGACCCTGCTCCATCAAATACAAGAAAAATTCTAAAATACAATTTAAGAGTAACTTACAGAAAATAATTAGTACAGTTCAGAATGAGTGAAATCACTCCTCTGTAGACCAGCCTCTTTAATAATAGAATGTAATGGGACTCCAGTTACACATATGTGAAGGGAAAGTATTTTTCAGCCGAAGATTCAGCAAACATTTCAGTAATATACAACTAAATTCAAAATCCACAAAAACAATGATGATTTTTATTGGCCAACCAAAATGAAGAAATTTTGTTATTCTTGTCAGAATAATAAATGTTTTTCTACAGTTATTTTCTGCCTCAAATTGAAACATATATTATGAAGATACAGGAGTCTAGAACAGGAGTTCCCAAACTTTTTCAGCCACTGAGCACTTTTTGAAGCAAAGTTTTCTCATGGAGCACCAAGAAATGTTTAGTGTTTAGTTCTATCTATGTTCTATGCGGCATATTACACATGACAAATATACGAAAGTATGAATAATAAGATGTCTATATTAATAAAGAAAACAATAGTAAAACGAACTGGAGACAATATTATTCATTGTTTAAATATACAAAATGACATAACAACTAGTTAAGATATTTGAAAAATGTTACAATGTTAAATGTACACCCAAAGTTAATGTGAAAACCGTGCCTCCTTCTTGCAGCAGTGTTTGTCGATGTCCCGTGTCACAAAAGTCAGTTGAAGACACATATCGTCTTTTGCATCCAAACAAGCTCATCGTTTAGTTTTTGTAGCCATGTACCTCAAAAAGGCCATTTCACAGAGGTACATAAAATAAAAAGGTAGCAAGAGCAATTTAGCTATTGAACTTAATATCGAAAGATCATCCCCTAACTGAGTCCAAAATTCAGGAAGTGGTTTGCTTTTAAATGATGCCTGACAGTGATTGTCCAAAACCATGTCTATAAGGAACTCAACTCACATTCTGCTGCAATGAAGACTGCTGGCTTTGACATCACTGAAAATTCATCTATAATCCACTCAAAATTCTTTCAAATCGATTCCCGTGTCCCTGGGAAAGTATGAATTCAAATTTTGAAGCAAATTGTTAAGGTGTTCTTTTATTATTGCCGGTAATAATGCATTCATCGTTATGTTATTTTCTTCTAAAAAGTTTAAAGTTAATGAGAAATATGTCAGATCCTTATTCTCGATACTTCTCTTGTAGAATGCTACCTTTTTCTTCAGTGTAGAAATTTTGTTAGTAGGATCTAATATTGTCTTCCATTTCCCTTGTATGGATGTGTTGAATTTGTTCATTTTCAAAAAAAATCTGCCAAGTAACATAATTTGCAGAACCATTCCTGATCATTTGAATAATCTGGTAGCAAACTGTTTTCATCATTCAAAAGTGAACAAACTTCCATTTGAAATTCAAATAAATGTAACAGCACTTTACCTCATGACAAACATAATAGTTCTGTGTATAATAACAATGACTTGTGTATACTTCCCATATTTTCTGATGGTATTTGGAGAAGCCTACATTGCAAAGGTCATGCTTTAACAAAGTTGATAATTTTGATGGCATTGTCTAGTACCTGTCTTAATAATGCTGGCATTTTTTTGTTGTGAGGGGGTGTTAGTGTAGTACACAATGACTACTTGTGCAGTTTTTTAAAACTTTCTTGATTCTTGTAACAATGCCAGGAACATGACCTACCATGGCCTTTACACCATTTGTGTACATGTCAATGCAATTGTCCCTTTGTATCAAGTTTTCAATGAAGAAGGCATTAAGCAGGGGAAAAAATCATTACCATTTGTAGAGGATGGAAGTGGCTTTTAGAACAGAAAACCTTCATGAAAAATATCTGAAAATTCATACCACACAAATGTAATTAACAGAGCTAATCCAGCAAAAAAATCGTTTGACTGATACAGGAAATTATGGTATCTTTAACGTTGTTTGATAGGTCCTGGATTTGCTTACGCACAGTGTTATCTGATATGGGGACACTGGAGATCAAGTCTGCAGTTTTTTTGTCCACCATGCACTTCACAACCTTCACTAATAGTGGTTTTATAAGAGTTTCAGCAAGGATGTGAAGTTTACCAGCAAGCACCAGGTCATGACTGACCAAATATGATGCTTTCAGTGCTTTCTCGTTATTTGTCTTTGCAAGAGATATACATTTTGTCTGAACTGCATGGAATTCAATACTTTTTTCTTTTGAAAAAATCTGCAGTTTTATTTGTGAAGTCAGGATGACTTTAAAAATGCTTTCTCAGTTTGGCAGGGAACATAGAGCTATTGGATAAAACTGTGGATGTCCAGCAACAAACTCAGTGAATTCCATGGCGAAATATGAATCACAATATTTTTGATTTTTACTTCCTTTCAGTACCTCTTCATTAGGCATCATAGACTTTGGTGCAGGATGATACACACCATTTTCCAAACTTAAGGCCAAGGATTTCACAGTATTTTTTTTAAAAGTAAGCTTACAGCTGTTGTTATCCACCTTTGACTGAGCAGTGGTTGATGGCTGATGACTCTCAGGTCTTACGGAGACCATCTTAAGCTACAGATCCATTTCAACAAAAGTTTAGCAGCTAGCTATTGGAGGAGGAAGAAGAGGAGGAAGAGGAGCAGGGAAGCAGCATGTTGGCACCTGACACAGAGCCCCTCACAATCACTTGTGGAGCCCCAAGGCATTGACGGAACACATTTTGGGAACCCATGTTCTAGAGTAGGGGTCCTCAAACTTTTTAAACAGAGGGCCAGGTCACAGTCCCTCAAACTGTTGGAGGGCCGGATTATAATTTGAAAGAAACATGAATGAATTCCTATGCACACTGCACGTATCTTATTTGTAGTGCAAAAAGCACTTATAAACAATACAATAATTAAAATGAAGAACAATTTTAACAAATATAAACTTACTAGTATTTCAATGAGAAGTGTGGGTCTGCTTTTGGCTGATGAGATAGGATTGTTGTTGTTGTGTGCTTTCAAGTCGTTTCAGATTTAGGTTGACCCTAAGCGAGGGCCAGGTAAATGACTTTGGAGGGTCGTATCCAGCCCCCGGGCCTTAGTTTGAGGACCTCTGGTCTAGAGCATTGTTGAGAATAACATTCACAGCCCACTGCTTTTTGAGATAACATTGGTCCATTTTGACCAGCAGCATGGGCAACAGTAATCATAGAAAAACCTTTTATGCACCCACATATTTAAAAATATCATATATATTTATGTATAGGTCAGCCTCGTTTTTAAGTCAAGTGCATGTTTTAGGGATAAAGTTATGGATTTTGATATGACCACAGATTAGCCAAGAGTCATTCCACAGCAAGGGGGAAAACATCAATGGTATTTTAGGGCTAGCTGCCTGTGGCCATCATAGAATCATTGTGTTGGAAGAGACCTCGTGGGCCATCGAGTCCAACCCTCTGCCAAGAAGCAAGAAAATCATATTCAAAGCACCCCTGACAGATGGCCATCCAGCCTCTGTTTAAAAGCCTCCAAAGAAGGAACCTCCCCCACATTCCAGGGCACAGAGTTCCACTGCTGAACAGCTCTCACAGTCAGGAAGTTCTTCCTCATGCTCAGGTGGAATCTCCTTTCCTGTAGTTTGAAGCCACATTCCAGCTTGTCAACATCTCCCTCCACTGCCACATTTTCTCTGCCCAGGCATCAGAAAGGCCAGAAAAGGTACCACAACAGAGAGAATAGACGGGGCTAGTGCTGCTTTTAAGTTCTTCTAGGATGAACTAACCTCTTGCCTTTCTCCACTCTATTTAAGAGTAGGATGCTTCCTCTTTTAAAAAATACTGACTCTCTGATAAATCAACCAGGTTTTTGGGGTTGATTTTTGACTAAAATTTCACTATACAGGATGATTACAATAACTGCTCTGGTATTCTGGAACAAACCCTCCCCAAAGGAGTTAAAATCATGCAATACATCACGTGTTGATATAACTAATGTAAAAAAAATGGTTTGTGTATGTTAGCATTTCTAAATATTTTAGCAATTGAAACAGTGGTTAAGTTGAAGATCAAGAATATAATTGAAGTTCTGCTGCACGTGAATAATATTATTCCCCTAGTTATGGGCATCTTAGCTATGAACAGCCTTATGGGAGGCCTTCAACATTTCTGTAATTACAAGAAACAGGATTCAAGTGTGGAACTGTTGTACAATACAACACTTAAGAATGGTATCAACACACTGGGTTTCCAACTAAGTTTTCAAGCACAAAAAAATGTTTATTTTTTCCTTCTCTTGAATATATACAGTATCTGGAGGTCTGTGCCACTGGCTGCCACTATACAAGGGGCTGGACTATACAACAGGCAATAGCAACAGGCTGGACATTTTAGTGCAAGCCATGGGGAAAATTGTGAGAACAGCTTTTCCATGTTTTGCTCATAAAGCATTCAGACATGAATCAAAACTAAATTCTCAAACAAATGAAAGATACATATTAACAAGAGAATAGAAATCTCTTACTACAGGATGTATTTTGGAACAGACCAGAAGACCTGCATCATGTTATACAAAAATCAATTCTAACTGAATTGATGGAATAGTATGAACCAAATGGTACTAACAAAATATTCTAGACTGTTCTTAGTGCTCACATTACAATCAAACTTTATAATTCACAGCAAGAACTCCACTTTTCATCAAGTAGTTTAGATTTATCTCCCACACATAAATATTATATACATATACATATATAATCTCTCCTTCATAAAGAGAAGAGGAGGGAGGGGGAGATTGAGAGAGGGGGAGAGGGAGAGAGAAAAGTCTTTCACTTAATGATCGTAATAATGTTTATGGTACACCATATGTTTGTCCTTAGGTACCTCCTTTCTCCCACCCGTAAGAGACTTACCAATCTGCAAATCAATTCTAAGTGGCTATCTTGAGCATTTTAGACAGAAAAGTGAAGATGTAAATTCTTTGTACAATAAAGTGAATATGATGAAAAGCCGAGTATAAGTCAAGCCCAGCAAGAAGTGCCATTCTATCTACAATGTAAGTTGTTCAAATGTCAAAATCAATTAATTTTAAAGAGAAGTAAAATATTTGAAAAGTTATGCTCCAAGTCCAATTCCACTTCCGTAAATATGATTTAAGCACTTTGAGGTCAAGTATGTTTCTAAACTAATATCGCTTGCATGGATGGAATATATGCAAAAGTCATGCAAGGAAAATTCTGTACTTACATCATTCTTATAGAAACTTTTGGTTTGGGATCTGCTACAATCAAGACTGGTTAGGTTTACTTCACGTAAGCACCATGCACAAAATAGTAATTTAACTTAGTTTTATCATTTTTACAGAATGGGATGCAAAATGTTCTAGCTAAACAAAAAGGAGGGGGAAGAGAGAAACATTGAAAAGGGGAGGGGTGGGAGAGAGAGATCTATCTGCCCAATTTTCTATTTCAAAGTTGTTCCTTCCATAAGCTTTTTCAAAAAGACACCCTAACAAAGTGATTTGCACTGCTCAAAGCTGCAACCAGAGCACACATATACAACTAACTTTCCAACTCTTGTAAATGTTGCCATTAGTTTAAAAATACATTCAAAGGTAGGAAAGCTCAAACATTTGCAAACTGAGTTGCTTCACCGTACTGACTTTCTTCAGTTGATATGAAGTAATTCACTGTGCAAATGCTTGACCACCAATTTAATTCCATTCTTTAACCACTAGTTCAAGAGAAAGCATTTACAGGAGAAAACAAAGTGAAACTTTAAAAATGTAAACCTTCACTATTATAAATATTTAGTGCAAATAAAAAACAAAAAAATAAATTTAACCTCACACAAGCAGACTGTAAGTAAAAGACACCTTTCTATTATTATTATTATTATTATTATTATTATTATTATTATTATTTTACATCTTTCCAGCTAGGACTGAAAAGCTTGAATTCAAGGCACTATACTCCTGCAAGGATTAATATAGTTGTCTTAACCATCAATTCAAGTACATTAATGTTGAAGGTTGCAGCTTTGTACACCAAAACACAAAACAAAGTGTCTTTAGCTATGGAGATGAAGCAAATATTGCCATAACAACAAACGAACCGGAGTGAAAACATTTCACAGTGATCACTGATGCAGTATATGGCTGAGTGCACTAGCAGGCCTGAACTGAGTGCCAGCGGGTAAAGACATACTGCATATAGGCTCAAACACACTGCATGTACAATTTAGACATCATCATCATCATCATCATCATCATCATCATCATCATCATCATCATCATCATCATCGCCATCATCTATCAAGTGATAGAGCTAGGATATTCTCAATTTAGGGCCTGGTGAACTGAGAACAGGTTGCTGTAGTGGAACTGGAATCAGTTGGAAGCCAGTCTTGGCCAGAGCTGGGAACTTGGCAAGGCTCTGATCTCCCACAATCCCAGGCTGTGTTGCTGAGCCTGACCACTGCATCCCAAAGAGTGGCATAGGGAAAATTCCTCCATATGGACAAAAAGGCATCACATAAGGTTTTACTGTGCCAGAAAGGGTAGTACCTGTCATAGGCACTGGCATGGATGGTGAAACTCCAGGAGTTAATGCGGCAGGCATTGGGCAAGACACTGGAACAATGCACTTTTCCCCCACTCTTGTTCTTACTGAATTTACCTATAAAAACAAACATAAAGAACACAGCTATTATGCTTGAATTGTTCTAATGGAGAATTCTGTGCAACAGAACTGATTCACGGCAACTATCATTTTCAGTCCAACGGTGCCACATTTTCCTCTATTCTGAGGGGATATGCTGGTCTTGCTCCCTCCAGTGGCTGAGATTTTGAATGAGGTGAAAAATGCAGAAAGTTTGGACGGCTCTCAAGCAAAAAAACCCACTGGAAATCCACACAACAACACAATGAGCCCCTTTAAACTGAATCTTCTGGACAGCCTATTTTTGCCAAGGAACTTAAAAGACATTATGAGTGTTTCACAGAATAACAACCTTCCTCCTCATGGGAATATGTAAACTGAAATCAAGCCAGTGCTTTCTTTAATACAGAAGCAGAGAGACCTTCCTCCCCCAATTGAACCCATCCTTCTTCCTTCAGCAACATCAAGAAAACTTCTGGACCTATGCACACTGTAACAACTAAATCTGAAAACCCACCAACCCAAAATATAGCAAAGTGTAGAATGAAAAATGTAAAATAAAGCTGTTAATTCTTTCAACCATCCCCACAATAAATTTACAGATCTTATAGTAGAGCTTGGGGGGAAAAATGGGACAACAACTCCTCTAGTAAAAAAATATCCATGTTGGTCTGGAAGCTATAAACCCCAAAGTAACACGCTCTCGCACTCGCTCGCTCTCAGCTGTAACAGTCACTAAAAATACCTAGACTCTGCAGAACTTAAATGAGAGAAAGAGGCTTCCTTTTTAAACACACACAGCAGCTGACTTCCTGGGATTTATGAGTTTAAATATAGACTAAATGCTACAAAAGCCATTGTTGTACAAGAGACTGGCTGGTTCCCCTCATGGATGTAGTTAGCACATTGTTGTTTTTTTGTTTCACTTATAATGAACAACTAACTTTAATCCAACAAATAAAATGAGAAGTATGATAGCATTAAATGTTAAAAACATGTAATTTAGAATTTGTATTAGCAACTGCCCAGCTTAAAAATAAGGCAAAACTAAGTGCAGTTCCAAGTCTACTAAAAAAGAACTGCCATATTAGGTTACTGGAACTGACTTATGGGTAATTCTTTGCCTAGAATTGCAGCTTTAGGACCTCATCACACTAGACAATGAATCCACTTTAAATCCAGTTGTTGCCTCCTGCAGAATTCTGGGGTTTGTCGTTTAGGGAGGAGCCTTTAACAGCCTCACTAAACTACAAACCCCAGAATTCTTCAAGAGGCAGAAACCGTATTTAAAGTGGATTCATTCTCCAGTGTGATAACATAGTAAGACTCAATTATACTTCCTCAATAAGACTTCTGAGAAAATATTCCTAGGATCAGGACTGCTCAGAGGACAGGGGGCAGTCTTCCCTGAATCCCCATAAAGCAAGATCAAACCCCATCTGCCCATTTCTTGCACATACTATGGATCCTTGTCTCTGCCAGAGATTGCTCACCAGAGCCCCTCTCATGCATTGACCATTGCAGGGCTGGACTAACCATCAAGCCAAATGTTCTTAGGGCATCAAAAGAAGGGGGCACCATGGAAATGTTCCATTGTTGGATTTACCATGAACCATATGGTGCAAACTTGCAAATAGTGCATTTGAATAAGGTTCTACAAAGAGGGCTCCCCCAATAAAAGACTGGAATTTGAAAAAGTTGGAGAAAAAAAATCAAATATAAATAATTTGAATTAGATATATATGGGACACCAAAATCTTTTTCAGTGTTTATGGCCACACCATGTGTTATTAGATTGCATCTCTCAGCAGATCTCACCACTATGAGGAATGCTTGTACCTACAGTTCAACTGTGAAAGGCCACATGATTTCCATACCTGTTGCAAAGGGTGAGGCACTAGTGGGACCTAACAGCATACATATTTCTTCATAGCACCGTCAAACCTCCTACAGTGCCATAGGCTTCCTGTAGTTGCCAAGCTGAACCCAGGAATCACTCAACCAATTGACCCACAAACCAACAACTCTTAAACACACATGCGCACCCATTCAGGACAGATGAACAAAATAAAATTTCATTAAATGTCAAGTAATATCTGGGCTGTCTAATAACAGGGATTTTAACTCAAGCAGCAGGTTTAGCTTCTGCTCCTGGGGTGATCCAATTCTTAACAAGGCATTATAGCTGGCTAGTTTTTAGCAGTATGGCCAACACACCTGCATCCTTAGGAGAGTCAGCACAAGTGCCTGAATAAAAGAGTCCAAAAAGTATTGGCATGGCAATCCAACATTCAACTTGGTATTCCCCCATGCCTTACACCAAGAATGAACAGAACCAATCATTGCATACTCAAGAAGCTCATCTACACTGACCACTTAGGTTGATGAATAGTTGGATCAGCTCTGTGGCAAGGTGGTGTTTCTGCAGCCTTGCTCTAGGTTAAGCTAACTCAGGGGGGAGCCCAAATTCTGACATTTCCCTAAGTTAGGGAGAGTAAAGGCATCTGGGATGGTTCCTAACAGGAAGTGGCAGCAGCTATCGACTGTCATCCTGCAGTCCTTAGAGTCAGGCAACTTGGTGATGGAATTGTAGTTCCCTGTTGCCCCCTTCACTCACCATAATCCAGAGAGCCTTCATGGCAACAGAGTTGGAGCTTTCCCCTCTCTCCCTTCCAGCTCCCTTAGCACACAGATGATCTTGCTGATGTCAGCCAGAGTGCCATAGATCAAGGTAGGTGGAGTTCATGACTGGCAACAGCTGTGAGATGGGGGGCTCTAGGGTACCTATCTGGCTGCTATACAGGCATGATCCAGCATTCCAGATAGGGCCCTCATTAATGGTTAGGGTAAAAAGGGCCCAAGGGGATGGGTGTTAGGGCTAGCCAGTGAATCTGCATCCACCCTCCCACAGGTGCTCTGGGTGGGACAAAAATTCTCCTGACATTGGACTCTGTCCAGAAATTTAGCACCAGCAGAGTTTCAGGGTTTTTTTTTTTAAAAAAGAGAGAAGTTGCCTCCTGGCTCTGCTTCCACTTGGCTGCTATATTTGTGTGGCTCTTTTCTGTACCAAACGTTCTCCATTTGCACCCTGTAAGTTAATTAGCTCTGAAGCCACTTTGGAAATGCTTTTCACTTGCTTTAAAAGTTCCCATGGGCAAACTAACCCCATAGGCTACACTTCTATTTCTTCCTTGGATTTATTTCTCAATGAATTCAATGGTACAGCAATGGATGGAGGATTACTGCAAAAAAGAAAATATATTCCTTTCACAAATTAATGATGCTGTTCACTGGTCAGCAATCTGTGAATGTCTTCTCAGATAGGAAGTACTGGAGTTTAATTATTCCTTTCTCCCCCAATCTCTTAGTAGATGGTTTACTTCATTTCAGTCATTATTGTGTTGGCTCAGCACACTATTTCTATGCTATATCACCATACAGTACACAAAATCTTCCCTACTGCTTTCTGGTCAGCGATACCTGGTGGCTTCACTGATAGTTGAGGTGGTGAATCCACTTCTGGTTTTATTTTGAACATCTAAGGAGTGCCTCCTTTCTCTACACAGAAACATCAACATATTATGTAATATCACACAAATCTTAAAACTGTCATTAGGCAGGTAATATTCAAGGGACTGGAACCAGAATATGCTTTCACAGGGTTTTGTGGAGTCTTGTTGATTCACAAACCCAGGTGACAGGGCTATATGCAAGCTTTGCTGGATGTTGTCCTTTTGGAAGGCTGTATTTTTATCCAAGTGCTGAATCTGCATCACCTTCTTCACCAGTGCTTTATGTATCACTAAAACAAACGTTCTGAAGCATTTCTATTCAATCAATTTCATTTTGTAAAGCTTAGTTTTCCCTGTCATTTTGTATTTCATATAATCATAGAGCTGAAAGAGACCACAAGGCCATCCAGTTCAATCTCCTATCATGCAGGCACAATCAAAGCACTTTAGACAGATGGCCATTCAGCCTCTTGCCATTTAAAAATCTTCAGAGAAGGGGACTCCAACACAGACAAACAGTTCTTAACATCAGGATGTTCCTCCTAATATTTAGGTGGAATCTCTTTTCCTATAGATGAAATTTATTTCTCTGTTCTCTCTGGAACAATAGAAAATAAACTTGCTCCATTTTTAATATTATGTCCTTTCAAATATTTAAACATGGCTAGCAGTCATCTCTCAATTTTCTATTTCTATTAAATGCAACCAGTTTCCTAAGATGCTCACATATGGCCTGGTTTCCAGACCGTTTACTATTTTGCTCATCCCCCTCTGGACACATTCCAGCTCCTCTGCACACATTCTTCTGTATCATATCCCTCTGTTGCTTTGCTCTCCAGATTAATGTACTCTTTACTTGCAATCCTTCTGCAGACTTGGATGAAGATCTAAAGATTCTGATGTGACCTACACCAGGCTTTCCTTCATGCCACATCCTATATGTAGTGGTCCCGTCAATTTTCTTTGATTTTGAATCTCCACTATACTGTTGCTGTATATTTCTACAATATCTATTTATGGAAAGAATTCATTTCTTCTTCTGTTTCTAGGCTTTATCAGTAGGTAATCAGGCAATATCCTGCCAGCAGGACAATTTTGCATATCATGCTTTTTCTGTGTTGAATGGAATTCTTTCTGTTGTCCTGCTTAACTTTCTAGGTTCTAATTCTGGTTCCTAGATGGGTTCCATGCACTGGTTTTTGTGGGTCTACTCATTGTGAGTTCTGTATCTGCTTCAGTTTGTTAACCTCTATCTCTAACTTGGTTTGCATTTGCTGGTAATCCTTCTTTAAGTTCTGCTCATTTTATGGTACTTGATTTGGAGCTCTTATGGGAGTACATTTTAAAGCCAACTGCTTCCTTTGTGTGAAAGTATCCTTTCAACTGTTCACTGTATCACATTGGCATGCCTTTGTGCTGATATGTTTAGTTTAATGCTGTGCATTATTCACTTGTAATCCACGTGGAGATATGGATGAAGAGCTGAAGAATCTGACATGACCCATG